TTCTTTCACCGGTGGGCTTTAAGGCGGTTTTCGGTTGATAATGTTGGCTGATTGAAATATTCTTCCCCCACTTTTCGTTGAGGTCTGATCCCAACAAGAAACTGGATTTGGTGTGTGTTATGGTGGGAGAGAGTTTTCTCCTAACATACTGTTTGGGAGTAGACAAGGAAATATGATATGATCATTTTTACAGATAGTCATTTTCAAGTAATCTGTTTTGTGAAAAGATAGAACAATTTTTATTAGAAATAAAGATGTATTTAGGACCAGTGGGTATGAAACACAAAAAGCCTGGATACAAAGTAGTTGAAGTATTAAGGAGGAGGACAGGCTGGGCTGAGACAGGAGTACATGTCTGTAATCCCAGCACTGAGGAGGCTGAGACAGGAGGACTACCACAACTTTGAGACCAGCCTGGGCTACACAGTAAGTTCAAGGACAGCCTGAACTGTACTTAGTGAGACCCTATCTCAAAAAATAAACAAAAAAGTGTTTGTACAATTATCCAAAAATTGAATAAATAGGGGACTGGGGAGATAGCACAGTAGAATAGGCGCTTGCCTGGCAAGTGCAGGGTCCTGAGTTCAATCCCCAGTCCTGCAAAAACAAAACAAACAGAACCCCCCTGAATAAATAATACATACATACTACAGTGATAGTACTTATGATATATGAAAATATTTATGATATTTATCAGTACTACATAAATAAATCCTAAGAAGGCAGGGACTTTTTTAGGGGGGCATATTTATTTATTTATTTTTGTTTTGTTTTGTTTTTTTGGTGGAACTGGGGATTGAACTCAGACCCTTGAGCTTGCCAGGCAAGTGCTTATTCTACTGAGCCATCTCCCCGGCCCTAGGGGGGCATATTTGTAATGGATTACAGTTACTGTAATTTTTAAATTATCATTGGTCACAGGAGTAAGCTATTTGGGAATGTACTAGTTAATAGTCTGCAAAGATCAGCAAATTTGTCTCAAATGATACTTCTTTCTGAGCTTAATGGTCCACTTGTTTCCTAATTACTATTTATCCTCATTAGAAGCTTCCAGACACCAAAAGGGCACAAAGGCCTCATGTAGAACAGGCCCTCCATAAATGGCTTTCTGTGCTTTCTTCCTTTCTTGTGTGAACTTTTCTATTCCTATGATCAATTTTTATCTTTTTTTTTTTTTTTTTTTTGGTACCGGGGATTGAACTGAGGACCTTGCACTTTCCAGGCAGGTGCTTAAGCCACTGAGCTATCTCCCAGCCCCTCTTTATTTGCTTTAAGTTTTTTTTTAATGCATGTATTTTTCTTCTAAAGTAACATGAAATTCTTAAAGTTTTAGATTTAAAATGATGAAACATGAAAACCTATCACCCAAACACAATCATAGTTAACATTTTCATGAACGTCCTAGGATTTCTCCCTGTCCTACGCAGTGCTTAATGTGGAAGCTTTGGCCTGTGTGGAAGATATTTATGCACCATATTCATAACAGCGTTGCAACAGCTTAGGGGGGGAGAAATCCAAGTGTCCATCAGTGGATGAATGAGGGAACAAACTGTGGTGTACAGTGAAGTATTATTCAGCAATAAAAAGGAATGGTGTATTGATACACGCTACTGTATAGATGAACCCTGCAAACATTATGCTAACTGAAACAAGCCAGTCACCAAAGAACATCTACTGAATAGCGGAAGAAATTCAGTTTCTTCTTCCATACAGTACCCAGAGTAGTCAAATTCATAGAGACAAAGCAGAATGATGGCTGGAGAGGAGGAGGAACACAAAGTAGCATTCAGTGGTATAGCGTCCCAGTTGGGAAGATGCGAAACTTTTTGGGGTGGTGGCCACACAACACTGTGAATGGACTCAGCGCTCCTGAAGTGTACAGATAAAGGGACTGAAATAGTAAATGGCACATTATGTCTACTTTATAGCAACAAAGAAAATCTTTCAGTTAAGACACGATATGAGGGTTTGCACCTAGCTACCCAGGAGGCTGAGGCAGAGGATTGTTCGAATTCAAGAGTCAGATAGCTGGGCAACAATGAAGCTAACTCAAAAACAGAACAAAACTTACAGTTATAAAAGCCATGCCATGACAAAAAATTGAGAATTTGTAAAGAATTGGAATGAAAAGTAGTACTCTTCCTGTCTACCTCCACTTCTCAGCTGAGCAACCCAGAGATTAACCATTTTGACCAATTTTGTACTTGTACTTAACACAGCACCTGATGGCAGGCTCTACCTATTACCCTTTCTTGGCTTTTGGTGGGCATGAACTCCTGGCACCTGCGGATAACCTAAGAGTCCAGTTTGATTCACATGGAGTCTCAGGGTGTGTGACTGACTGTGGTAGTTGCTATGTTGTTCAACTTGATGTTGGAAGTGGCTCAGGGCCGGTCTGGGCAGTGGGGAACCTACCCCCTCCCCTGCCCTGCAGGGCGGGGAGGGCCGGCCCTGGGGAGTGACTGGTTCCTCCCTGGGGCACAACGGCCCGCCCTAGAGTGACTTAGCACAAAAAGTATATATAAAAGAGTTGAGAAAGGTTTCGCTGGTGTCCTGCCCTGCTTCCTTGGATAAGTCTCAGTGCTCCAAGGAGCTTGATCTTTGCAGCCGTGCCGCTTCCGAGGCCGTGGAGACCGCCACAAACCATGAGCTAAAACCTTTCCTTCCTTCAATATGAGCTTTGGGTGTTTGTCCTAGCAGCATATGAAAAGTAACCAAGACACTGACAATATTATGCTTCTGTGTTCTAGCAGATACATCAGACAAGTTTCAACTGCAAATAATAGAAAACCCAAAGCAAAATGATTCAAATGGTAAGAAAATTTGTGGTGTTCTGACAATAATATTGGGTGAGTGAGCCCCAACAGTGTTGTCGAGGATCAGGTCTTCTTCCCTCTGCTCTGCTGGCCTTCACGTTGCTTCAACACAAGGTCACCTCCAGTCCTCAGATGGCTGCCAGGAGCCACGAGCCCTGCACTTGTTCTTGTTCACATTCAATTCTCCCTCGTGTCCCGTTGGCTAAAATGGGCTTAGATCAAATCCCATGCCTGGTAAAGGGAGGGGGATGGGTGTCAGGACTAATTTAGGTTTATAATCCAGGGTGGAGCTGATGAAGGCCAGTGAACCACACTGCACGCATGCTGCAGGCTGTCTCCTGGTGCCCAAGGGTGCACTTTGAATAAGGCGACACCAGCCTCCTCTCCCAGCGCTTCACTTCTGCTTGCCAACTTCTATCCACCACAGCCAGGATTAACTCGGTGCACTAATCAGAGGGGACTTTATCCTCCTGGTATGGCGTCTCACCTGCCCCGTGAGCGCCAGGCCCTCATGACGTGGGTACGTGCCTGTCGCCACCAGAGCTAGACACTGCCATGCACCTGGTGCCATGACTTCACTCAAGTGCTTCCTCTTGACCAACATCCATATTTCAGGCCAATTCTAAAGTTTTACATATCTTGTCTATCATGTAAAGGAAAAAAATCCCCATGTTTTAATGAAAGAAATCCCAACTTCTCACCTTGATCAGTAAGGAAATGGAAGGCCACTGAAGCTGTCACGGACCAGCGCTAGAGAGAGCAGGAAGGGCGGCTCTGATTTCATGCTGGGAGTGCTGGGGCTGCATCCCCCTGTAGCTCTTGGCAGCCGTTAGGGTTCTGCTAGATGCGGTTTCTAAGGTGTAAAGGCCTTGTCAATTACCTCCCTTTATACTTTGGTCCTCTGTACTGGCCACTGAGGGGGGAAAAAGCACGGTGTGAAGGGCATTAGAGTAAATGGCCTGGATTTGAGTCCATCTACCAATTCCCAGGTACATGATCTGTAGAAAGTTACTTTCAACTTCTTTAGGTTGCAATTTCTCATAATGTATTGGGGAGAATAACATCTACCCCAGACCAGTGTTCTATTAAAAACATAATGATGAAGAAGCTTAATCCATGCCTAACCTGTAACAGGCTATCAATACATGTTACCATCATTCCTGCTAACTTGTGGGGTAGAGGTAGCTCCATTATCGAGTTAGCATTATTAGATTGGCAACTGGTGGGCTTCCCATGGTGATGAGGAATATTCATCCCAAATTAAAGTGAAAGCAGGTCATTCCTGAGATGTGTGTCAGCTAGACCTTTGCCACTATTGGGTTATTTGCACACAGGACTCTGGGAATTTACTGCAAATTAAAGGCTACCTAGAGGATCATATATTCCTACCTTCATTTCTTTCAGTTATGCCTGTCAATCGGTTCAGCGAAATTGCTTCCTCAATGTGCAAGGGCCACAAAATGCCTAATGAATAAACCATGCTGCAAGCATTTTGAGAATGTCATGATATCGTGCTAGTATATAAATAAAACCCAAGATGATTACCTTCAACTTGGATTGGCATATTCATAAACACTGTTTCTATGTCTCCCTTGGTTGCCTTACAACCTAATTTGAAAGTGGGAGAAGTTCATTAAGGAATACAGAGTCAGCAGGACAGTGTAGGTTGATAATAAGAAGGGTAAAACCTTGAAAATGTTTCAGGAAAAGACGGAAACATTATTTACCTTTCATTCCATTTCTTCATTGGAGATATAAAATATATCCTATCATTTGCCAAGGACTTGTCCCATTGTGAGGGGTACACTAGTGAAAAAAGACAAATTCTGCCTCAAGGAGGTGACAGTCTCTCTGCTGGTAGCAGAGGCTGAAAAGAGCAAGTAATTAAAGCAGACCACAGATACTGATGCATGCTCTGAAGAATATCACGCAAATGCTGTGTGAGTGCCCAGGATGGTGATCATTTCCAGGCGACTGAATGTGTGCATTCTGGGGCCCTAAGCTCCCTGTACACATTTGGGCTCTTCAGGTTAGTAGACGCAGAGGCACTGTGTCTGTTACCCTCTTTGTGCCTCAGTTTTTGGCTGGACAAGGCTCATAGTACTTTCTTCACGTGGCTGTTGAAATAAGTCGATGTGTGGAAAGCAGTCTGAGCAACACTTGACAACACTGTTTCTTCTTTATTTTCCTCTGAATAATTCACATTGAGCTAAGGTCTAAATATTAGGGAGGAGCTCAGACTGAGAATATAGAAAGCTTAAATGAACTCTGTACCAAAGAAAGCACAGCTAGACTAGGACACAGCAAACAGTCTTCTTTATATTTGTATGGTATACATGAATGAAAACGCATGACGCGGAAGCCACCATGGCGACAGTCATGATCCATCTTTGTATTCGTCAGCACTCTCGGCGCTCGTGTCCTCACTGCTTTCTTCTTCACTCTCGGTGCTGCTGTCTTCTTCATCTTCCTCATTGCCCTCAGGATTCTGAGCTTCTTCTGCCACAGAAAGAAAGATAAATGCTTCTCATTATTTATTTTTTTCTTTTTCTTTTTCTTTTTTTGTATTTCAGGGAAGGGTCTACAGTGTGTTTAGGGTCTCACTACTAGATCAGGCTTATAGTGCTCCACCTGTTTACAGCCACCCAAGAGCTCGGATTACAGGCATGCACCACCACGCCCAGTCTCAAGTGCCATCTCGGTGACCCGCAGGGGTGGGGCTGGCATGGCAGGCTCGGGGATCTAATCTCTGGGCCCTGTGCCTGTTTGCAGGTGCTTTAATCTGCTCAGCTATTTGGCCAGCCCTCTTCTTAATGTTTCTACTCCTCAAAAATATCTTATCCTCCTTGTCCATCCCTCCCCCGAGAAATATGTAACTTAGGAGCATAAGAATTATGCTTACAAGGAGCATGGTGGTGGAATAAGGAAGAAATACATCTCTACAGGCATGATATTTGTGGGTTGAAACAAATTAAAAAATAGACCTAGAAAAATCATTTTTACTATTGTTAGTGAGATTCTTCAGTGGAATAAAAGAAAGTGAGACTTAGGGTGATTTAGAGTGAATTAGATTTCCTTAAAATTAAGGGACAGCATTTTCAATCCATCGAGATGATTATTATTATGTTCTGTTTTTTGATAACTGGTGACTGTCACCCAGGAAGTCTGCTGTGCCCAAGGCAGCTGCACTCCTAAGGTGAAGATGATCATCTTTGTCATCCACAGAGGACAAACCTTCTCACTCTACTATTCAAGACAGCTATTTAGCTGTTCCTTAACCACCTCCTGAAAATTTGACTTTCCTGGGATAATGGGCTTTTAAAGACCAACTGCTCGCTGGAGAGATGGCTCAGTGGTCTAAAGCACCTACTTAGAACAAGCTTGGCAAAGCACAGGGACCGTGGTTCGATCCCCCAGCACCACATGCCAGCCAGCCCCGCCCCCTGGTGGGCTGAGCTTGCCACACACACACACACACACACACACACACACATTAAATAAAAAAAAAAGTAAGACCAACTGCTCATAGTTCTAAGAGAAAAAAGGAATTTCAATTTTTAAAATTACCCTTCAGCAATATTTCTTCAATAAGTAAGGAAAACTCCTTGGCCTCAAGATTTTCTGGTTCATAGATGAGGACTGAAAATGGACAAAAGGATGTGTTATTAATGCTCTAAGTGCTTCAGGGAACAGGTTCTTTAGGATGAGAAACCGTCAGTCAAAGCAGGTGAAAATGCAGAGAGCAATGTACACCATAATTATATCACAAACAGAGAAAATGCTGCAGTTATATTTGGCACTTTGTAAGAGCGATGATCTTCATTATTTTTTCTACCTCCCACCTGAAGACTGCTATCTGCAGGTCACCTAGATATGGATCTGTGCACAGGCCAGTAGTCAGAGCGTTTCATGAATAGAGAGGGAGAAGGTCCGCTAACGCGGACTCTGGTCATGAGGAGACTGGGTGCCTAGAGATCTTCTAAGCACATCCCTCTGAATACTCCCTCTGAGGTGCTTTCTACTGACTCATCTCCTGTACCCACACTCTTCATGACATCTCTCTAGGAGTCATTTAGCTCAAAGGATCAGTTAGGGAAAATGAATGCTTTCTTTCTCTCCATCTTGACAGCTTTTACCCGAGTCTGTGCCCCAGACACTGCCTGCTTACCAGCGTTCTCCCCTCTTCATTATACCATTGATTTGAGCACTATTTGTTCCTATTTGTGGATGCTTTATGTGACCGTGTGATCTTTCCTTTGGATCACATTACTGTAGGGGACGTTTTAGGCTTGTTGGTACTTTAACAATGTCCTAGAGGCCGGACCTTCAGTTTCATTTCAGGGTTTCCTAGACTCGCTTAGATTTTTTGGTTTCTCTCTGCAGTTCACCCACTACCTTCTTCCTTGCTGTCTTGAGGTGTATTTATCATTCTTTCTGGATCCATTTAATTTGACTCCTGCACAGCATCACGGTGGCCCCCAGGGGGCACTGAAACATCGAGTGTGCTATTAATCTTGCTAAAAGTAAGAGAAAAGTCTTGATGGTTCAAGGCTCCAGTGACTGGAGAACTCTACCCATGGCTTTCATCCTGACAGAACAAACCAGTGACTTTATTTTCTAATCCACTAACATCATTGACAACTTTTCACCAATCTGGGTTAGTGTGACTGACTGTGTGTGTGCTCCGAAGAAGCTTTTAAGGATCTTAGGTATTTTATACATCATTACACATAATACAAATTTTCTAATAAATTACCTTTTCATACATTTTAACTAGAACTCAAACATGCTTATCTTTAGTAGGCTAAGCCCCTAGAGAAGAATTCCTCCCACTAGCTCTTTAAGATATTATTTTCTTAATATGTATTTGGGATATTAGGTTAAATGAAGTTAATTAGGAATAACTTATACTAAAGAATCAAGATTTTACAAATAATTTGTATATTCAAAACTATTACAAATCTTATGGAGCAGGGCATGTAGTTCTCTAAATTTGATAGCGGAAATTATTTTGGGGGAGCACTTATTCAGAAATCTGTCAACTAACATTTCTTGGGACATAGTTTAAAAATTTTCCTGATATAAAGTACTCAGCCCAGACCTTGTCACATGGTAAATGCCGAATGAAAGTTGATTATTAGATTTTCCACAATGGCTCTTGTACTAGCGAATGGTTTGGTTCCTTCCCAAGCATTCAGTGGGTGCTTTGTGCTGACTAGGGTGGGTGGGGAAGCAAAACTTTCTGGTGACTGTGGGTCTCTAAAATTTCTCAGACTGGAGCAATTCTAGGACAGAAAGTGCTTGCTTTATTCACCACTGCTTTCCCAGCGGAGTGCCTGCCATATAGGAGAAGCCCTGAAATCATTAGAAAGTAGAACAGATGAATAGACAAATGAGTAGGGGGCAGATTTTTAATTGCTAGATAAAATTTTACTGCAGGCAAACAGGAAAAGGTGAGCTCCTGTCTCAAAACAAAACAGGAGTCCTTTTCTGAAGATATATCTGTATGTGCTTTAGATCTGTAATGATGAGAACCACTTTGGGTTTCAAGCCATTATTATTATTATATTATTATTATTATTATTATATTATTATTGTTATTATTTTACATTTAATCTATATTTTTTCCATAAATTTATTGAGAAACAAATAGCAATGAGACAGTTTCAAACCAAATTGGTAGGACAGTTTCAATAATTAACACATTGTATACATTCTTCCTAGTGGTTAATTGCTGTACAAGATGCAGACATGATATCCTACTTACAAACACCACTAGAACAAATCCCTCTATTCATTAAGAGAATGTAACTGTATATTGATCATAGCCATTTGAATACACAGATACAAAATGGACATTCATCTGCATCCCCTTTTTGTTGTTAAGTTCCGTTATTTGAGTATTATAGGTGTGTAAACTCAGCAAAATATTCTAAAAGAGTCCAGTAGCCCATAATAGTATTGGGTTTTCCGCTTCACTGGCAATGTTAGAAATTGTTGACCTGAGTCCCCTACAGCTCAACATAACAGCATGGCTTTACTTCTTATATTTCGTTTTTATACTTTTCTGCTGGATGGTTAAGACCAAGAAAAGCAGGACCTATGCAACAAGAGCTATAGCTTTTGGGTCTGATAAGGTCAGTGAAATCCCCTCAGGATTTATCCTGAGATCCTGTACCTCAGATTGTAGAACCTTTGTCAGTGTCAGCCATGTGGATGAGTCACGGCCATTGCTTGGCCAATGTGCTCTCTGTGAAAGCTTGAGAGAGTGTCTTCTCTCCATGTGACTCTCCTTATCAAGCCATTATTTTTTAACATTTACATGGCTAAAATCAAGGAGTTGGGTCTTCTAAGGGCTCGGTGTGTTCCCTATGTTGAAGCAGAATCTCATCTCATAGGCTGCCTGTGAGCGGAAGTGTGGCATCCTGACGAGATGGAGCTGCCAGCTTCTCACTCACAGGTGGGCAGGAAGCAGGAAGATGACTTGGCACAAAAATCCCAGTCATTCCTGAGATGAAGAAAGGAAAGTACTAGGACTCTTGCCTTTCAGTCCCATTTAAAAGCCCTTTTCCCAGGCTGCCCCACTGCACAGAGCAGAGGTGTAAGTTCTACTTGAGACACCAGGAAAGTGGCCGAGGCGAGACTGAGACTTTGTAAACCCTGTGGGGAGACAGATAATACTCAAGCCTATGCCAGCAGATGAAATTTCTTCATGGAACCCAATATGCATTTTTTAAAAGGCAGGCAGAGAGAAAAGAAGCTTGGCTGCCAGGAGAGATGCTCTACAGCCCAATGAAGAGGTAAACGACTCCACTCTAACTGGACCACACGTAACCACCCCAGAAACCAGAGACTTTATGCTGGAAAATGAATATGTACAGCCTTTCTGAGGCACCAGGATGCATTACTTTATATAAATGAATTACCTTAGACACCAAGAAAAGGTACTAGTTAGCCACAGGAACCACTGCTAGGCTGATTGATCCATAAAGCTATTTATACTCCAAGTCTCTGCCATCTTTACCAGAGAAATAAGCTTACAAGTCAGATGAGGAGATAAATTATAAGCTGTTAAATTAGGTCTGGGATATAATTCTACCTCTTAGTAATTCTGTGACTTTATGCAAATTAATCTCTTTGCTTAGTCTCAGTTTCTTCCTTGGTAAAGTGAAGTTAATGATGTCTGCCTCATGGAATTCTTTTGGTGGGGGGTAGTGTGGATTTATTTATTTATTTATTTATTTTTGAGAGAAGGTCTTGCTAAATCACTTAAGTTGTCCAGGTTGAGCTTAAATTTGTGGTCCTTTTGGCTCAGCTTCCCAGACTTCTCCCAATATAATTGTTTTAGGAATGAAACACTGATCTCATCAATGTTTCCATAGTAGGTATTGGATATATACCTATATAAATGCATAAATAGGGAAGTATATAATCTCATCTATAGATATCAGTAGTTATACACACATATAGAGAGAGGAAGGAGTACTATGGGGGGAGCTAGTAGATGGTAAATGGATAAGAATATCTAGGCCATAAAGATTTATATATAAATGTTTGGGGTTTCTACTAGGTAAGAAAAATCCATTTTGTAGGTGTCTGTAAATACAGAGGGATTTGGGGCAGCCCTCAAACTTGCTTTTTTTTTTTTTTTTTGAGGGGGGAACAACAAATAACTAGTGGTTTTTTGCCCCTAGAACTCTCTATTCCTCCCTGACCTCTCTGAGTGTCACAGAACCGGGGCTTCCCTGGCTTCCTACTCTTGGGTGAGAATCGCCTCTGAGGAAGCCTCCCGTCTCCATATCCCATCCCTGAACTTTGTTGCCCATGTTCCAGCCAGCCCCATCTCCCCCTGGGGAGCAGTGCTCTTTGCCCATGGGACCCCTGGATCCTGGTGTCTCCTGGGGCCTCCATGGCTCCTTTTCCTGTGACCTAATCCTGAGTGTTACAGGCACTGCTACCTGACACAGACTGAAAAGCACAACCTATGTGCGCAGTGAGTCAACAGGGGTAAGAGCCCAATTATGTTTAAAATCAGGTCCCGGGAGGGGTGAGAATGTGTGACTGGGCTCCTGCCTTCTCTCCAGGTTCCTGTACAATGTCTGAGACAGAGTGGGTGCTCAGTATGCATGAAAAGAAAAAAGGAGAGAGCAGAAGAGAGGGAGGGAGAGGAGGCAGGCAGGACATTTTTAAAGGGATAGAACCCCATGAAGATAGACTAGTTTGAAGTTTTTTTGTTTTGTTTTTTCAACCAGGGATTGAACTCGGGACCTTGCACTTGCCAGGCAGGTGCTTATACACCACTGAGTGCTATCTCTGGCCCTCTAATGTATTCTTTATAATTAGTTTATGAGAGCAAATGACAACTCTTTAATTAAATCTTATCAACAGTATGACTTAAAAGTCATAACTAGTGTTGAACTGAAATCTTCAAGGTGAAGTCCTTGAAGGAAATACAGCACAAGTATTGTGAGGATCTGTCACTAGGACAGGAGAACTGGGCTCTGCCTTGACTTTCTAAGTATGTTTCTGGAACACATATTACGTACTTTATGTCTGAAGTAAATGCTTTGCCTTGTTTAATCCTTCCAAGCACTTTTTGAACTCTTAAGCCATCATTAAAATATTTTGGTGAGGGGCTGGTGAGATGGCTCAGTGGTCTAAAGCACCTACTTAGAACAAGCTTAGTAAGGCACAGGGACCCTGGTTCAATCCCCCAGCACCACATGCCAGCCAGCCCCGACCCCTGGTGGGCTGAGCTGCCCCCCCACATGAATAAATAAAATTAAAAAAATAAATAAATAAAATAAAATATTTTGGTGAAAACTGTTTTTGGTAGCCCTTAGACTAGAACTTCCAAAAGGAATTCCTTGAGAAAGTAACACTCAGCTTTCTTGTTTATAAGGAATCTGAACCAGAGAAAGGTAAGCAAATGGCTCAGCTCTATACACAGTGCCAGTGACAGTGAACAGAAGCCCAAGCCCGCTTGACCCACACCTGTCCCCTCTCCACTGGCTAACTGGATGTAACTGGCTCTGCATCCCTCATTCCCAGTTTTGTGCAGTCCAGAACCTCAGTTGCAGAAATGCTATTATATATTTCATTTTTATACCCATCAATGATTTTAGAAAGCCTTTGGCTGAAGCTTGCAAAATACACATGCTGATCCCACCATACCTGTCAGGCAGTTTGGGCCACTAGCCCTGCAGTAAGTTACATAAACAGCAGGCACTCAACAAAATGCTTGTTGGCCTGAGTGGAACCAGTGAACCCACAGTACATGTCAGGTCATTGGGGATGAAAATTTCGATCTCCAGTACTGCAAGCTGTGCCGGTCCCCATGTCATGCCAGCCACCTTAACTGGGCTGGGGAAGCTGAGACAGGAGGATCACTATGAGTCTGAGTTGCATAGTGAAACCCTGCACCAAAAACATAAGTAAATAAAAAGATTTTTTTAAAAGAAAGAATACATTAGGGGATGAGATGGGTGGAATATTTGAAAAGGTGGAATATTCCAACTCTGTCAATGGAGAGTTGGAATCTTTCCAGATCACTACATGGACATTCTGAAATTGGAAAATATACTCTGTGACTTCACAAACTCAGTGGTAGTTTTAACCAAAATGGATGTAGTGGGAGATAAGATAAATAAAACAGGTCAACAGAAAATACCCACATGGATGCACAGAAATAAGAAATAATTTTATTTTTTCTCTCTTTTTAAAATTAATTTTACTGAGAAACAAATAGCAATAAGACATTTTCAAAACCGATTAGTAGGACAGTTTCAATAATTAATAGATTGCAGACATGATATCCCGTCCAAACACTATTAGCACAAATCTTTCTTCTCATTGAATTAAGAGAAAGTAGCTGTATAGCTATCTTAACTATTTTGTATATACAGATACAAAATGGTCTTTCATTTGTATTCCCTTTTTTTTTGTTTAGTTTTCTCAGAGAAAGATATTCTCTTGCCATTTAAATATTGTAGGTGCGTGAATTCAGCAAAATAATCCAATGTAGTCCAGTCCCTGTCATATTCTAATGATGGGTTGCAATGACAGAGACCAACTTTGATTGACAGAGTCACCTCTGCACAAATGAAGTTCAAGGGGGTCTGCAACGTAGGCCCCTCATCCTCTGGGCTTCAAGCCAAGCAATTCTTTCTTTCTTTCTTTCTTTCTTTCTTTCTTTCTTTCTTTCTTTCTTTCTTTTTTTGTGGAACCAGGGATTGAACTCAGGCCCTTGCACTTGCCAGCCAAGCGCTTATTCTACTAAGCCATCTCTCTAGCCCCTTTTTATTTTAATATAATAATTTTATTGAGAAACAAATAGCAATGAGACATTTTCAAACCGAACAGTAGGATAGTTTCAATAATAAATACATTGCCCATTGTTGTCTCAGTGGTTATTCATTGTACAAGATGCAGACATGACATCCCATTCACAAACACTATTAGAATAAATCTTTTTATTCATTGAATTAAGAAAATGTAGCTGTATATCTATCCTAACTATTTTGAATATACAGATACAAAATGGTCATTATTTGTATCCTCTTTTTTTGTTTAGTTTTGTCAGGGAAGGGTATTCCGTTATCATTTAAATATTGTAGGTGCATGAATTCAGCAAAACATTCCAACACAGTCCAGCAGTCCATAATAGTAGTGGGTCATTCGCAGGACTGGCAATGTCAGAAGTTGTTGACCTGAACCCTTTAGAGCCCAGTATACCAACATGGCTTCACCCCTTATACCTTATTTTTATACCTTTCTGCTGGATAGTTAAGACCAAGATAAAGCAAGACCTATATAACAAGAAATGTAACTTTTGTACCTGATAAGGTCAGTCAAATCCCCTCAGGATTTATCCTGAAACCCTGTACCACACTTTGTACATCCTTTGTCAGTGTCAGCCACATGGATGAGTCACGGCCATTGCTTGACCAATTTGCTCTTTGTGAAAGCCTGAGAGAATGTTTTCTCTCTATGTGACTCTCCTTAGGCACACTCTACATCATCAATCACATTTCTCTGTGGCCCCATAATCTCCTTTATTGGAAAATTTGGGACAAAACATGACGTTACAGTATAGGTTCTCCTGTGTCCTGAGTCTTCACTGACCTTGAAAGGTTAGGGCCAAAATGTTGGCTGACCTTGCAGCCCTTCCTCTTCTCTAATTTTTGGTCTGCAAACTTAGGTTGTTAATAAAATAATATTAAGAAACAGAGATAAAAATATGTATACCATGGGAGTGGTAATTTATGTGTACTTGAAGGCCCAGGAAGAGCCGGGGAAGGGAGAGACGCGGGAAGGAGAGGCAGAGAGACAGTGAGAGACAGAGACACAGACACAGAAGGGTTACTTGAAAAGATAATGATAGGCAAGAAATTTTCAAAGCTGATGAAAACATCAATCCACAGATTTAAGAACGCAAATGAACCTCTCCAATAGTTTAAAGACAGAAAATCACAACTATTTTGGATAAGTTGAAGGACTGGAAGGAAGATAAGGCTGAATGTGAGGAGGCATTGGTGGTATGGTGGCGAGCATAGCTGCCTTCCAGGCTGTGTTCCTTCTCGTCTCTAAAGCTTCTCCAACCCGAGGAAGTCCTGAGCAGTTGCACAACCCATGACCAGGACCTCTGTGACTTCCACCTCTGGCCCACTTGTGCATGTCCTCGGCTCCAGCCAGCCTGGCTGCCTGGCTGCACACCCTCGTGTGCGCACACCTGAGGTACGCCCTCTCTGACACACCTTTCCTCTGCTCTTCCCAGCCAGTTTCTTTTACTTTGAGTCATTCAGTGAAAACTTGACAGTCACTGAAAACTGCTTTGCCCTTCCCAGCATCTTTTTTTTTTTTTTTTATGTGTGTGTGGCCAGCTCAGCTCACCAGGGGGTGGGGCTGGCTGGCATATGGTGCTGGGGGATTGAACCACTGTCCCTGTGCTTTGCTAAGCTTGTTCTAAGTAGGTGCTTTAGACCACTGAGCCATCTCACCAGTCCCCCCCCCTTTAATGAATCTCAATTATTTATTTAGTTTTGGTGGAACCAGGGATTGAAATCAGGCCCTTGCGCTTGCCAGGGAAGTGCTTATTCCACTGAGCCATCTCCCGGGCCCCGCCCAGTATCTTGTCTATTCCCTCTTTGGTACTTTTACTTTTCTCCACAGCACCTATCATTTACGATGCACTGCTCATTTATGTTTACTCTCTATATGACAGACACACATGTGGGAGGTTGTGCGACATGCTGACGGCTGCACTTCCTGTGTCTGCCACACTGCCTGGCCCATGGGGCCCTCAGGCCTTTGTGGACTAAATACGTGCAGGTTAAATTAGATTTGATTGTTGTACCTTCTGACTCTTCTTTAGAACTAAAACATGAATTTACTGAGCTGTTACTATAAGAATAAATGTTCTGGCTTATTTTCCAGTGCTGGTAAATAGTCTGTGCTAATCTACTTTGATTTATTTCACAAAAAATCCTCTCCACATCTCAATTAGTCCTTTATTAATATGTTATCAAAGTATCACTGAGACAATAGAAGGAAATTCTCTAGACTTAGAATAATCAAACCACTTCATATATTATTCAGTATGTTTTTAGAAGCAATGCAAGAGTTGGAAAATGAAAAATATTTTATACTTACTCATCTGACATAATTTTTTTGCCAGGTGGTAATCTCGGCCCATTTCGGCTCTCAGAAACTAGAAAACAAAGTATTTCAGATCAGTCTTTTGAAAGAAAATTTAAATGTCAATTATAAACTTTTTAGAAAATGTTCCAATGATGATTGGTTACACAGTGTGACTGAATTCTAGGGTAGATATTTGCATTTTCTAAAAAGTTTATAATGCACATTGTCACTAATCCCCTTTAAGGCCGGGAAGATGGCTCAGTGGAATAAGCGCTTCCCTGGCAAACTCAAGGGCCTGAGTTCAATCCCCGGTTCTACCAAAAAAAAATTAATAAATCCCCTTCAAAATACCCACCTTCTTTGACATCAAACACACCTATCCCATTGTCCTTGCCACTTTCCGAAGCAGTTCTGGAAGTCCTCTTTCATGAGGGTCATTGTTTTCACTGTCATGGAAACCTTGATGTCCTGAATCAATTCAAAACATCTACCTTTCGTGGTCATTATTATTTTCACTTTGGAGAAGAGCCAAAAATGACATGGTGACAGATCCTGTGACCACGTGGATGAGGACACACTACAGTGTTTTTATAAGCCTGCTTTTCCATTGGATGGTACTTGGTAGCCACCTTCACTGTATTTTTAAAAGTCACAGCCAGTAAAGATATAATACAAGAGGACGTCCAGAGCTGCTTTACAAAGTGTCCAGAATAATGGGGTAAGTGTGTTTGAAGTGAGGGGCAGTGCTTGGAGGGGGATTATGGCAATGTGTCTCTTACTGTACTACATTTTTGTTATTTAAGTATGCACTAGTTTTTGACCAGCCCTTGTATTTTTTTTTTTCTTTCTGGCAGCCCTTGTATTTTGTATTAACATTTAAATATGTTTTTCCAGAAGTGAGGCTATAATCAACCAGTCAATCAATGATGTTTCAGGACTTCTGATGACAATGCACTTGGGACAATTCCAACACCCTTGCTTTGCTGTAGTCACACTATACATGCATGGCTGGACAACTTGAGAATGTGGCTGATTCAACTGGCACAGGTAGTGATAATACTGGTATTTCAAGATTACATTGATTTACATTCAGGTTTCATCTGTGAACTTAGTCTATGATAACCCAGGGTTCCAGGGCCCACACAGCATGCAGTACTAGGGATCAAACCTGGGTCCTTGTGCTTACCAGGCAGGCGCTTAGACAGCTGAGCTATCTTCCCAGCCCTTGCTTATTACTTTTTATATTTTTCTTGTTACAAAGCAATATATATTTTTAATATAGGAAATTAAAAGACTAAATGCTGTTCCCAATGAAAAGCACTTATATTTCTACCATTGAGATGTTCAACATCAATGTAATCATTTTAGTTTTTTCCTGTAAATGCACATTCATATTTTAAAAAATTAAGATTATGCATTAAGTTTTAAATAAATAAACTATTTCTAATCACCATCTCTTTGTGCCATTAAGTATTCTTTTATTTGAGGAAAGGGTGCTGGGATTGAACCAACCTTCAGCATGCTAAGCATGCTTATACTCTATCACTGAGCTTACATCCCCAGCCTTGCATTAAATATTCTTTGATAATCTTTCCTGATGCAACAATTTTACTAAACTAATCTCATATTATGAGCAATTCAAACTGATGTCAAGAAAGAAAACCCTTTATTTTGATAGTTGTTTTTTTTTAAATTTCTTTTTTAATTATTTATTTTTTTTTCATTTTTCTTTTTCTTTTTTATTTTTTTTCCCATAATTTTATTGATAAACAAATAGCAATGAGACAGTTTCAAATCAAATTGATAGGACAATTTCAATAATTAACACATTGCATACATTCTTCCTAGTGGTTAATTGCTGTACAAGATGTGGACATGATACCCTATTTACAAACACCACTAGGACAAATCACTCTATTCATTAAGAGAATGTAACTATATATCTATCCTAACCACTTTGAATACACAGATACAAAATGGACATTCATCTGTATCCCCTTTTTTTCGTTAAGTTCCGTTATTTGAATATTATAGGTGTGTAAACTCAGCAAAATATTCTAAAAGAGTCCAGTAGCCCATAATAGTATTGGGTCCTCCGCTTGACTGGCAATGTCAGAAATTGTTGACCTGAGTCCCCTACAGCTCAACGTAACAGCAAGGCTTTACTTCTTATATTTCATTTTTATACTTTTCTGCTGGACAGTTAAGACCACGGTAAAGCAGGACCTATGCAACAAGAGTTGTAGCTTTTGGGTCTGATAAGGTCAGTGAAACCCCCTCAGGTTGATGGTTGTTCTTGTTTGTGGTTGGCATAGTCTGAACCACATGCAGATGCCAGAGTTTTATTCTGAAAATATAGCAGCATCAACCAATATAAAGACATTTCTCACATTTCCAGATATGTGATAAATATCCAGGTACCATTTTAAGTAGTTCTCTACCACTGCGTTCAGTTTGTCCCTTAAACTTTTTTTTCCCATAATTTTATTGAGAAATAAACAGCAATGAGACTTTCAAATCAAATTGGGAGGACGGTTCCAATAATTAACACATTGCATACTGTCTTCCTAGTGGTTATTTGTTGTACAAGATGCAGACATGATACCCTATTTACAAATGTCCCTTAAACTTTAAAAAACAATATTTTCTAATGTAAATTAAATCTTTAGAGTTTTGTAAGAACCATAGTTTCATTGAAAAATCTCATTTAAGTATTAATAGTGCCATTAATACACACAATAAAATTCTTACATTTTAAAAATTTCTAGTCTAAGCTTAGACATTTTAATTTTCATTTCCATTTATGGCTTTATTCCATTTTAATCATTGTGTTAGTTTATGCATTTTTAAAAATATCCAGCTCTTGACATATTAACTTCAGGGTTTATTTTGAATTATTAACTTGTTTCTTTCAATTCTTTTTCTTGTATTTATGTTTATTATTTTTACAGTCTCTGGAACTAATACACTCATTCTTTCTTGTCATCAGAATCATAATCATCATCACTGAAGCAATTAAAACTTTAAACTCTTTTAAAAACTTAACATTTAATGTTGTGCCCACCATTATTTTCCAAATAGTTTAATTCTTATTTTTTTTGATTCAAATGTCATGTAGAAGAATGTCTTTTTAAGTGGTTTTAATTTACAATTGTATTTTGCTATTAATGCATAATTTCACTGATCATGGTCACAGAATATGATCAGTACACAATGTAGCTAGTTGTAGGAAGTGGCTGAGGCTAAAAATTGATCATACATGGGTGGGGGTGTGCGTGGAGGGGGCACAGCAAGGCTGGGCCCAGAAGAAGAGCGCTAGAGGCAATCAATCTGCTTCAGTCCAGAGATACACCTTGCCTGAGACAAGCCCAGCCATTAGCCCAGTTTCTTTCCTCTCATCTGGAGAAAGGGGCTCCACCTGACCTTAGCCTTCCCCTCTTATCTCTATTTCCCTATCCTCTCATCATGGTTCCTCAAGAGCATCAAGAGCTGCAAAATGATGCCGGAATAGGGAGCCAGTGCACCAGGGGACATTTCTCACTGTGTGCATAACAGGGGGGAGAAGTGCATTGGTAAGTCCAATGTTCTGCATAGGTGTGCATCAGTACTGGCATTTTATCAGGTATAAAATCTGGGGCAAAAAAAAAAAAAAGACTTAAAAAGCCAGAAGGAAAAAAGGTGCATTGATTTACCAGTTATTAAACATGGGGCAAACAAACATTCAAGAACCACAGATACATATGTATATAAAAATTGCTTATTATATGTTTGATTTCTGTATCTTTTTTTTTTTTTTGCAGAACCAGGGATTGAACTCAGGCCCTTGTGCTAGCCAGGGAAGCGCTTATTCTACTGAGCCATCTCCCTAGCCCTCTGTTTTTTAACTTCTTTTTGTGGATTTGGTTAGTGGGAACTTTATAACTTCAAAGGTTTTGGCTTGGAGCATTATTTTAAAATCGAGTCCCAAGTGGGCAAAGCAGGGCAGAATGACAACCTCTCCGATAGAGCTTGAACTCGCTAGCTTTGCTCGATCAGATAAAGAAGCCAGATGGGTAGGGGAGGGTTTTCAACATGTCTATACTGCTCCTAAGGTTCAAGTTCCCAATGACCCAAGATGAAGTATACATCTTTGGATTTATGCAGACACTAGCTTCTCCTATGTCCAGGGGCCTGCCTTGGTAGCAGCTATCACTCAGGTTATTTATTCATATCTTAGAGGAAAGGGAAAAAACAAGGCTACTTTTTTTCTGTTGTGAGGATGAGGGTCATTTTGGCAGAAACTACTCTGCTGCACCTGTACAGGCGGCACAGACATTATCTGTCTCTTCAACAAAACTTTCCAGTCTCTGTAGAAAGTGTCAATGAAGTTATCATTGGAAAAATGAGTGTAAATCCGAAACCAATGTGGAAGGCTGACCCATTCTGGGAAACTTCCACCAGGGCCTGTCTCAGTCTCACCAAACACCTGGAGCACCCTCCTTAATTCCTCCCCATCCCTATCCTCTGCCATCAATCACATCTCTTGGCGACCTGAAAGGATGTACAGGGCCATTCTAGATATTTCTCACCTTTTGTCCTCCCCATATGACATATTACAACACTGGATAATATGATAATTTGAATTGAGCCACAGGTAACAATCTTAGCCTTTTCAGAACTTTGTTGAGTCATAGGTTGGAACTTCTACCTCTCAGGGAATACAGCTGTTTTCTCTCTAATTGCCTTTATTAGTCACCCCCAAGGTGACTGCTTAAAATTTTTAGACTACGTTTTTTTTTTTTTTTAAAATCCCTTTCCATCTTTAAGATAAAATTTATTTTATCTTTAGTTAAATCATATTTCCTAATATTTACATTAATGGGGGGGTATTAAAAAAGTTTACTTAAGAACTGTCTTAGTTACTCTTCTCTTGTTGCTGGGACGAATACCTGACATCCAAAATGAAGGAGGAAAAGGTTTATTTAGCTCACAGTTACTGGAGGTTTCAGTCCATATTCAGCTGGGTCCAAGGCAGAGCAGCAGAAAGCAACCTTTCATGGTGGTGGCAAAGAGCAAGAGAACAAGGGAGGG